TCTGACCCTCTGGAGCATCTCTTGGAATTCTTATTTACCCTAAAGCTTGGAGTGAGGTGAGGTCTGACCCTCTGGAGCATCTCTTGGAATTCTTGTTGGTCCTAAAACTTGGATTGGGGTGAGGTCTGATCCTCTGGAACATCTCTTGGAATTCTTTTTGTTCCTATAGCTTAGGGTGAGATGGGGTCTGACCCTCTGGATGATCTCTTGGAATTCCTGTTTGTCCTAAAGCTTGGAGTGAGGTTGGATCTGACCCTCTGGATCATCTCTTGGAATCCCTGTTTGTCCTGAAGCTTGGATTGGGGTGAGGTCTGACCCTCTGGAGCATCTCCTGGAATTCTTGTTGGTCCTAAAGCTTGGAGTGAGGTGGGGTCTGACCCTCTGGATGATCTCTTGGAATTCCTGTTTGTCCTGAAGCTTGGATTGGGGTGAGATCTGACTCTTTGGAGCATCTCCTGGAATTCCAGTTTGTCCTGAAGCTTAGGTTGGGGTGGGCTGGTGCTCTCCATCCCTGTGCCATTGGGCCCTGATGAAACCATGGAATTTGAAGCAATAGTCCCTTGATTGCTTGTGAATCAACATTTGAAGAGGGTTAATTTTTGTGTCTCTCAGTGTCCCAGGGGATTTGTGACTGGAGGATGGATTTTCTCTCCTGGGGCTTTTCTCTTTCGCGGGGTGTTGGTGTTTGGCTCTTGGCTCCACGAGGAAAGAATTTCATCTCCAGACCTGAAGTTCTGTCAGAAATGTCTGTTTGCTTTTGCTGCTCTGCTTCCAGTGTGGAAACTTTTGCTTTACAGGTGCCCTTCTAATGGAAAACTCAGTTTTATCACCCTCCATAAAAAGAAGTAAAAGCCTTTTGAAAACCCCAGATTTCAGGGAAGAACGCAAACACGGTTTTTACGTGAAAAACTTCACTGTAAATCCTTTGTCTCAGCCTGTGCTGCTCCCCCTTCGCCTCTGATGAACAGAAGAATCCCAAATAATTGTTTGTCCTGTTCCTGTGCGGGGAGGAGAGGGGAAATGCCCGTTTGGAGGGACTGCAGGGATTTTGGAATCCTCTTGGTGAAGCTCAGGTACTGATTGTGCTCTGTCACTGGTGCTGTGCAGAGCAGGGAGTGCTGAGAGCCTTGCTTTGGGCTTTTTAAAGTGGACATGATTGGATTTTATCATGCAGAAATTGCATGTAGCACCTTCAAGAGCAGTCTGTTCTTTGGAAACAAATGATTTTCTTAAAAGCAGAATCTTTTGCTTGAGAGGGGGGGGATGAGGAGGAGAAAGGAGCTTCCAAAAAACTCCTTCTTTCTGTACTCAGCGCTATCAAAGCCGTTTCAGACGTAGTCACTGCCATAAAACGTGGCTGTTTCAAAGTAAATTAAAAGCTTGGGGGCAACAGGAGAAAGCAGAAGGTATTAAACCTTTGAGGATATATGGAGCTGAGGAGATGGCTGTGTTCTGGTCAGAACCCCTCGGAACCAGGTGAGCAGGATATTTATTGTCCTCCCTGGGCTGTGCTTCAAACCTTTCCCTCTCTGGCTGGAGCAGCTCTATCGATCCAGGGCGGCAATTTGCTCCATCTCCTTTTCCTTCTGGGATTGTGGATGGCTCTGCTGGTCTGTGGTGTCCCTTTGAGAGCTCTGGAGATGGGATTCCAAGGCTGGGGAGGAGTGGGAGGGTGTTCTGGGCTTGTCTGGAATATGGGAAACAAAGAATTGAAAAGCCAGGGTACGATTAGACCAGAGGTCAGCCTGAGCTTGACCTTCATGTCTGTAGGAGATGATATCCAAGAGATTTATATGGGAAGTGGCACGATAATTAAGGAGAAGGAAAAGGAGGAGAGAGAAGGGAGAAGGGAGCCCTGGGCTCTGCAGCAGAGCAAAGACTCCGTGGCCACGTGGAAGTTTATTCAGGAGATGAGCGCTGGTCACCTCGTGGGCAGCTCCGCAGCGAGCTCCCCGTGTTTGGGTTAGGAAATGGGAATGGACACGTGGGAATAAACCTGGATGGGCTGCAGGAAATGCTCCAGTGGCCGCTTTCCATCCGGGAAGGACGCCTGACAGCAGGACAGGGGGCAAGGGGCAGTTCCAGTCCCTGCCCTGCTCCAGGCTGACACAGGCAGCAGCTCCTCCTTCGTGAGAGGTGAAGCATCCCTTGGTAGGCGCTTTCTGCCCTGTGCCTGTGTGTTCATGGTGCTTTTTCCTGGTTTCCAGCCCTGATCTTAATTGTCGTGCCGAATTCTTTAATCCAGAGTTCAGCAGGGCTCTCCCCTTGGTTTTTCATGGCGTTTCTTTGGGTTTGACACCTTCTTGCTCCTTCGATCCTGACCGTGGATGGCTTTGTGATTTGTGGGAAATCTGCAGCCCGAGCAGTGGGGTCAGAGCAGCTCGCTCAGGGCTCGGTGTGTGGGACCTCGGAGGATGGAGGTGGCACCGCCTCCTCCTTGGCTGAACTGTTTTCATGGTGAAAACAGGGCTGGTTTGGCTTTTTTAAACCTCCATCCTGAACCTCTTCCTTCAGCTTGGGCTGTGTTCCAGTGGGAAGATGGTGGCTGTTTCCTTGGTGACCTCCTGGACACGTTGGAAGGTTGCCAGGAGGTTGCTCCAAAGCCTTCTCTCCAGCAGGCTGAAGGAGCTCTGTTCCCAAACCTCCTGCCAGCTCATCCTGCTGCACCTCACAGCTTCCACAAAGAATTTTTGGGAATGGGGCTTGGACAGGTTTTTCCGTGCTGTGATGTTGTTCCTGAGGAGTTTTTACTCCTGAGGATTTCTGTGCGTGGAGATCCCCAGCAGTGTGCAAAAGCAGTTCCTGAAACTGATACCAGCAGAAAAGGCAGAAATAGCTTCCAAAAACTGAAATTTCACGAGCAGAAATAATCCTCCCCTTCAGAGGGGAGAAGGTGACACACAGCTCTTCACCAGGAGGCTCCATGAAATGATTGTGAAACTCAGGATACCCAGCTCTCCCGCTCTTTCCCCTTCTCCCATTAAAATCCACGGCTCCAAAGCATGTGGAAAACCGAGCTCCATCTCCTCCTTGCTTGGCTCCAACACCTGCACCTTTTGTTGCCGTGGTCAGTGGAGCGTGCAGACACGTGATAAATGTTCTCAGAAATTTGTGCTGGGCAGAAGTCAGAGGCCTGGCTTTTCTAAGCTGGGTTTAGGCAAGATATTCAGCTGGAAAAATGGGATATATGGGATGGTTTATGCAAGATATTCAGCTGAAAAAAAGTGGATATATGAGCTGGTTTATGCAAGATATTAAACAGAAAAAAGTGGGATAAATGAGATGGTTTATACCATTTATAAGATATTCAACCAAAAAATGAAAATGATTTTATATATATATATATATATACACACATATATATGTATTTTATATTCTATAGATATAAAATAGAATATAGGAAGAAATAGAATATAGGATGAAAACAGCAGCAAAATGGAGTTTTCCTTGGCAATTTAGCTTAGGTGCAGCTCCCTATTCTGTATTTTTTGGTAAAAAGCAGAAAGCCAAATGCAATAATTTGGTGCAGGTAAAAATCTGTCATTTGAACTGCAGGAGAGTCCTGTAAAAAGTTGTGTGGATGAGAATGGTTTTGATACATTCATTCCTCATTTTTTTTTTCTCCAGACTCCCTTGATAAAATGATCTCACTTTTGTACAGATGTTGTATCTCCTTTCCCTGCTGCAAAATCAGAGGGTTTGAAGCTGCCCAAATATCGTGGTTTCACTTATTCTTTTATTTTCCCCCAAGTATCAGAGCTGTTGTTGCTTTAAATCACAAGGATTTTAAATAATATTTTTCTAAAGGGTGTCCACCCGGGTTTTCATTCAGTTAATTCCTACTTTTACCTCTTTGCTGTTCAAATTTGACTCTTTCTGTTCTGCAGTCGGGTTTTTATTCGAGGCGTCGTCGCTTGGGTTTCGGAGGAAACGGCTAAAAGGAAATGTGTGAGGGGTGATAGGAGTGGAAAAGTGGCTGTGGTGGTTCACACCAAGGCCTGCTGGTGTCTCCTGCAGCTTCCAGAGATGAGTGAGAGGGGAAAAGATGTGGAAAATAAAAAACAAAAATAAAGAGATCCCCTCGCTGCATTGCTCCATCTCCAGCCCCTCCCAGCTCAGCCCTCTGCATCCAGATTTATTATGAGCCGTAATAAATCGATTTTCAGGTGCCTCTCCAGGCTTCTCTTGAGCCTCAATAACCTGATTTGGATGCTGGTGTTTTCTGGAGGGATTTCTGACCCCGCTCGTGTTGTTTTGAGCCTGGATTTTGGGATGGAGGAGGACAAACAGCTCCTCCCTGTCCATCTCCCTGTGCTGCTTGTTGGATCACAGCTGTCCCCAGCTCCTCTGTTTTTAGGTTGAAAACTCTCGGCTTTCATTATTTCTTCATTAAGGAAATCTCGTTGGACTTCTGCCATCCTCTGAGCATTTCCACTTCTCCCGTGTGTGTATATCAAATTATTTAATATCATTTGATGTGCCGAGCCCACCAAACCCACCCACACTCGGAGCTTTTGGGCAAAGCAGGAATTTCTATCGTTTGGAACGATTTTTTTATTTGCTCTCTGCTGCCTTCCCAATCATTTATTTCTGTTTCTCCCAGAGATTCGTGTGCTTGCAGCCCAGCTGACGTTTTCATACCTGTGTTTATCAGCAGTGGCAAAGGTCACAGCAGAGCTCTGGAAAGCTCTGGGCTGGCTGCTCTGCTTTTCCCACAAATTCTGGGCATTAAACCAGGCTCTCCCATCCTCCAAACCCCTCTGAGTTTTCTTGGATGAAAAATCCCGGGGTTTTCTTGGATGTTCAGGAACAGGTTAAGCCGAGTGTGCCATCCACGCATGACCTTCTCTATTGTTTGCTCTTGGAACAGCTCAGCCCCGATGGTAACACAAGAACTTTGAATAGCAGCTGAGGATCCAGGGCCTGCCTTTATTTTATTTTATTTTATTTTCAAGGAGTTATTGATGCTGGAGGAACGCTCAGCACTGGATTTTCATCCTTTCCTTCGACCTGTGCTGTTGTGTTGTATTTTTGGAGGGCTCTGAGGTGGTGCCAAGCTGCCATGAAGGGGAAGCAAAGATGTGTTGGATCTCATTTCCTACCTTCAGTTCACTCAAAAAGTTTGGTAAAACGTGGTTTTGTTTTTTCCAGGGCATTCACACAGTGTGGTAAAAGGCTTGAGTTAATTAATAATTGATTACCTGCAAGGGCTCCCTTCCTTGGGCCCACACGATGATGATGATGTCTTGATGCATTTATTTTTATTTTTCATTTTGCTGTAGAGGCTGAGCAGTTTGTTGTGGAGCAATTAAAACATCTTTACCTGCAAGCAGGAGCTGTAGGTTGTTACCCCGTGAGGGGATCAGGAGGAAAAAAGGTGAATTTAATTGATATAAAAATTCTGTTCTGAAACCCAGAAAAGGCCTTGTTTTGTCAGGAGATCCTAAATAATCCCAGTAAAAGGCACAGGCAGGGTATAAATTGGTGTGAGAGTTATTCAGAGGCCATTAATGAGCTACAAAAGCCTCGTGGAGATGGAAATTCCTCTTCAGGGTGGGATTTGGGTGGCTTTGGTCAGCCAGGATGGAAAGGAGCAGTGATGGAGCATCCTCCTCCCCCAGGGGCTGGGAATGGGGGGAGCAACTTCTCCCTGCCAGGATTTTCCCCTGGCCTTGCATTCACATCCCACTTTATTTCCTGATTTCTCTAATTATAAAATCTATTTTATAATTTAATCAGTGTCAATATGGGATGTAAATACAAATTCTACACCATATAATAAATAAATTTGGGACAGGAAGTTTTCAGTGGCAGTTTTCAGTGGGAGCTGAACTTTTCCCTGCCAGGATTTTCCCCTGGCCTTGCATTCACATCCCACTTTATTTCCTGATTTCTCTAATTATAAAATCTATTTTATAATTTAATCAGTGTCAATATGGGATGTAAATACAAATTCTACACCATATAATAAATAAATTTGGGACAGGAAGTTTTCAGTGGCAGTTTTCAGTGGGAGCTGAACTTTTCCCTGCCAGGATTTTCCCCTGGCCTTGCATTCACATCCCACTTTATTTCCTGATTTCTCTAATTATAAAATCTATTTTATAATTTAATCAGTGTCAATATGGGATGTAAATACAGATTCTATACCATATAATAAATAAACTGGGGAAAGGTTTTCAGTTGGAGCTGAACTTTTCCCTTCCAGGATTTTCCCCTGGCCTTGTATTCATATCCCAGCTTATTTCCTGATTTTTCTAATTATACATTTTATAATTTAATCAGTGTCAATATGGGATGTAAATACAAATTCTACACCATATAATAAATAAATTTGGGACAGGAAGTTTTCAGTGGCAGTTTTCAGTGGGAGCTGAACTTCTCCCTGCCAGGATTTTCACCTGACTTTGCATTCACATCCCACTTTATTTCCTAATTTTTCTAATTATAAAATATATCTTAACCTTTAATCAGTGTCAATATGGGATGTAAATACAATTTCTATACTATATAGTAAATAAATTACAAGTGGGGACAGGAGGTTTTCAGTGTGAGCTGAACTTTTCCCTGTCAGGATTTTCACTTGGAAAAGTCAGGGAATGCTTGAATTCGAAATTCTCATTTGGTTGGGATTTGGATTTTTTCCTATCACAATTTTCTTGGGCAGCTTTTTGGATTTTTTATTCCTGTGGCTGGAGCCCAGCGAATGCAGGATCCTGCTTGGAGTTTCTCACATATTTGAAATCTTATTTGTGGCTGAAATTTGCCTTCTAAAAAACCCCTCATTCCATCAAGGGGGATTTTTCCGTTCAGGGTAGAGGTTATTGTGGGAATAAATTGATTAGATTCAATCTGATTGGAAGAAAAAAAAGTGTCTGGAGGATGAGGTGGTGGTTTGGGGGAATGAAATCTCCCTCTTCCCACCAAGCAAGTGTCCTTAGCATGTGCCAGAGTGCTGGGAAAATGTTCCTCAAGGCCCTGCTGTGCTCTGTGTGGGCCAGGAAAATATTGCAAACACAATATATTGAATTTCCTAGCTCACTGCATGCTTGAGCCTATAGGTAACCCGCTGGTAATGCACATAAAAATGCACTTTGCTGGCATGGCTGGAAGCTGGAAGGATAAAATATCCCAGATTTTTGAGGGGTGAAATTGGAATTGTGGGGTTGGGATCGGCTTTGAGGAGTTCAGGCCTTGCTTGAGACGCATCTCCGGCCACAGGTTCATACAAAAGCATTTTGTTTCTGCTCATTGAAAGCTGAAGAAAAGCAGGAAGATTTGTTTCCTCTGCCATTCTTCTGTCACCTCCCTGCATTTTTCCTGGCTGGGAAGAAGCCCTGCCTTGTGGCTGATATGAAAATCTGAATTTCCTGCTCTCCCTTTCCCTTTCTTTGTGCCCGAGGCTCTTGGAGCTCCAGCCCCAGGATCTGCGTTCAGGCCTTGGCGTGTGCTGCTGCTTGGGATGAGATCCTGGGGTTCCTCACAGCCTCCCTCATTCTTAAATCCTGGCAGCAGCTGGAGAAATCAGGCAGGAATCAGGCAGGAATCAATCAGCCAGAAATCACCCGGAAATCAGCCAGGAATCACCCAGAGATCACCCAGAACTCACCCTAAAATCACCCAGAAATCACCCCCAGAGATCAGCCAGAGATCAGCCAGAGATCAGCCAGAGATCAGCCAGAACTCACCCTAAAATCACCCAGAAATCACCCCCAGAGATCAGCCAGAGATCAGTCAGAACTCACCCTAAAATCACCCAGAAATCACCCCCAGAGTCCAGCCAAGAATCAGCCAGAGATCAGCCCAGAGATCAGCCCAGAGATCAGCCCAGAGATCAGCCCAGAGATCAGCCCAGAGATCAGCCCAGAGATCACCCCAGAGATCAGTCAGAACTCACCCGGAGATCACTCAGAACTCACCCTAAAATCACTCAGAAATCAGCCAGGAATCCCCCAGAACTCACCCAGAACTCACCCATGTCCCACTGAGTGTCCCCAGCATTCCCAGTCCTCGCTGGGAACTGCCGTGGGACAGGAGGAGTTCAGTGGGAGCTGAACTTTTCCCTTCCAGGATTTTCCCCTGGCCTTGCATTCACATCCCAGTTTATTTCCTGATTTCTCTAATTATAAAATCTATTTTAGCCTTTAATCAGTATCTTAATGGGATGAAAATACAAATTCTGTAACATATAGTAAATAAATATGGGACAGGAAGTTTTCAGTGGCAGTTTTCAGTTGGAGCTGAACTTTTCCCTGCCAGGATTTTCCCCTGGCCTTGCATTCACATCCCATTTTATTTCCTGATTTTTGAATTTATAAAATCTATTTTAGCCTTTAATCAGTGTCATTATGGGATGTAAATACAAATTCTATACCCTATAGTAAATAAATCATTCCACGAGTTTCTTGGTGCTGAACCTGTGGATTCACAGGCAGATACTTCTATGAAATAGAAAGGGGCAGCAATACTTTGAATATAACAATATAATTCCTAATTAATACGGTAGGAAAACACATCAGAGGTGCAAATCCTTTATTTAAATATCATAAAAACAATGTAAAAAGACAATTTCTCGAGCTTTTAATTAATCTTGATGACTTACTACCATATGACAGCTTTAAAAAAAATAAATAAAGTGTACTTTGGCTGCCTGAAATAATTAGGAAATACAGAAATGTGGAATTTTAGCTCTTTGCTTTTCAATTTGGCTTTTCCCATGCAGATGCCAGGGGTGATTGCTTGGTGGAATCCTCGTTCTCAGCTGATTTTCACAGTGGGAACTTGTGGCTGGCTCATTTCTATGATCACAATTCAGCCTAATTGGTGCTGTTAATGAATTATTGTTCTGCTAGAGGGGAGCGGGGGCTTGGCCAGAGGCTTTCAGAGGGGTTTGCTGGCAGCAGATTTATTTCCTTTGGGAAGGGGAATCTTTTGGTGATAAAATATCATTTCCCATTCCTAATGTTTCAGCTTTTCTCCTTTTTTCTCCTTCTTTGCTTTTCTCCTTCTTTTCTCCTTCTTTTCTCCTTCTTTTCTCCTTCTTTTCTCCTTCTTTGCTCCTTCTTTTCTCCTTCTTTGCTCCTTCTTTGCTCCTTCTTTGCTCCTTCTTTGCTCCTTCTTTGCTCCTTCTTTGCTCCTTCTTTGCTCCTTCTTTGCTCCTTCTTTGCTCCTTCTTTGCT